CCCCAAATGAAACCCGTCCTCTTCCCATTTATCACTGCCTATGTGAGCTGAAATTTTTACCATGTATGCTTTCACAAAAGTACATTTTTCGTTGTATTTTCGTGAGTCGATTTACTTAAATGTAATAACTTATAACTGCATGTTGTTATTAGTTACTCTATATTTGGTACATTTATAAAAAGGAAAATACTACATATAATTAATAATTTGTTCATAATCGTGTACATACATACACTCAGGGGCGTAGCCAGATAGTGGCGAGGGAGGGCTTTAGCCCAGTGTCATTTTTTTCCTCTCTATTAGACATTATTATAGTATTCTTAAGAGAAAAAATTGTTAAATTAATTCAACCCATATTAAATATAATGTTACTTGTATGTGTATGTACTGTAATTTAAGCTCATGATGAATATATATATTTGGTAATGACTAATTATTTTAAAAAAATCTCTAACAAAAAATTAATGTAATATTAATTTTATTTATTGGTGACACTAATTTTAGTCATTTTATATGAACTCATTATTTGGTTAACATAACTTGTTAGATATTTTTACTTTTAGAAACATGTATATAATTGATGAAAACGAATAATCTTTCATAATTAAAATTTGTGTCTCTGCAGAATCTCGAGTACCCATGAGATTAGAATATTTATTCTAATTATATATATATATATATATAATTAAACTTTATCGACGATGTCGAGTTAGGTTGAAGGTCTAATTATTAGTGCATATTACATTATCTTAAACAAATTTATATATTTTCATAATTGCATCTAAATATATATATAAAAAAAAAGTAAAAGTATAATATTTTATATTAAAATATATTTTTTCAAGTCAAAAAGTATGATATCTGTCTTTCTAACCGCCATTCTACATCTCAAATAATATATTTTGTATTCGAATTTTTCTCATGGTGAGTTTTTTTCCCAGCTACTCCCCTGCATACACTCATATTGAATGAGGCCGAATAAAATATTCAAGTGGACTCTATTCATATGAGAGTATGTACATCTCTATATACAATTTATATTCGAATAATAATTGCATAATTTTGTAATTACCAAATATCTATTGGAGTTAGTAAATTTAGTGACTACTTTTATAACAACCCAAAAGGCCAAAATATACTGGTTAATTTTTAATTTTCCCCCCAAAAGAAAACCCATGAGTGAAGGACAATGATATGAATTGCATCACTTTTAGAACTTCTAAAAGTTATTATTCCAGCGAAGGTGATGTATAGATATATCTAACTCTCAATTCACTGTACAAAAATAATAAAGTTAGTGAATTTGGTGCTTTTTTAATTGATTAGATTTAGGTGTCGGAATTTGTTTTATTTCCCTTTCTATGATATGATTGTTTGGACTTTGGACCATCTCTAACCACCAAATATTTGTATTAATGTTATATATCAATATGCCAAACGAAATGCCTTGTTTGGTGCAACTTCTGACAACTTAAATTTCAAGAGACATGCATCTTAAAGAGGGTAAAATCTATGCATTTCTTATTGAAAATAATGTAATAATAACAATTTTTTTTTTTTTAATCAGGAGATGTAAATTTGTGATTATAAAAAAAATACATAGCATCATTTCAAGTTGGATATTAGCACGAAAATGTGCTTTCTCCACTTTATATATGAACTTCATTGTTAAGCAAAAAACAAAATGAAAAGATGAAGTTGATGCATAGAATTTTTGATACAAGAAATACTTATTTCTTAAAAATGCAACTTTATCTATAGGTACAAAGGGACAAACAAAAAATTGCAAGTAAACTTTGGTACTTAAGTCCCAATCTCCAAATTAATGTCTCGACATCAAATAAAAAGAGA